AATCTGTTATGAAACATGCTATGACAGCCATTGTGTAACTGAATATATTTTAACAAATAGCTTAGAAATTGTATTATTTATAAGTTAATTTAAAAACTACATTGTGCAATTTACATGTTTGCGTACAATTATTATTATTTTTTTAAAGTTCAGTGTTGATCATCTATTTAAAAATAAATAGCAATTAAATTTAAGTTTGGGTTAAGTTGTTAGGCCTAATTGTAACCTTATAATGTAAAAAGGCTCCCTATAATTTTAAGCATAAGCTGAGGTAGATTTTTCATCAGTAAGAAAATTTAAACTGTAACTGAATGTATTAAAAAGTTTAGTTTTTCCCCTGCTGTACCGAAATCAAACCAAACCGTGACGTTAAAACCGAGGTACGTACCGAACTGTCATATTTGTGTACCTTACACCCCTAATATATACACAGTTTTTTCTGTGGTGTATTGTTTGATGTATTTATAAATCTTTCTTTGTATGTTTTTTTTTATCCACAAGGAGTTGCAAATTGAATCTCGTTGTACAAAACGTGCAATGACACTAAAGTATTCAAATGATTATAGTTAGCTAAAAACCGAAACCATAAAAAAGCATTTTTGTTACTTGAAATAATAATAAAGTTACATTTCATCTAATTGGCAAGGAAACATTTCTCCTTTTCAATTAAACTCGATTTACTAAAATAACTAAAACTAAAATAAAAATTTATGAAAATATGTAGACATATTTAAAACAAATAAAAGATAAAACACACAACTAAATGACTAAACCCTTAACTAAAAATAAAAATGGAAAAGTTACAAAATAAAAATTTTAAAATATTAATAAAAACTATAATTCTGTCTCTGATACTTAACATGTTTTATGGAAAGTGAATAATTAATTAAACCATAAATATTTTAAATTAAATGATTTTAAAATAAAAACAATCGCCATAAAAACTTACTAGTAAAAGATTAAAGTATTTTGTTTACCTGCATGTCATGTGACCATTAATCAACATCATCCAGCCTTTTGAAATATTAACTTAAAATCTTCAAGTAGATATTTAAAAAATAGATATTCAAAATTCATCTAAATCAAATAGTATCTTCTCCTTACCATGTATGAAAGCAAGTAAACCCTCGCCTCACATCGCTGAATGTCTTCATAGAGCCTATTGGTTAAAACGCAATGCCAGTCCTTTCGATTGCACTTTAAAGAATATGTTTGTTTATTGATTTCTGTAGGGAGCAATGGGCCGCAGAAGTTTTGTATTGAGAAAGTGGGGAAAGAAAACTGGCTGCCGAGGAGCCACACATGGTAAGATCAGGAATCATAATGTACACCATACAGTGCTCACTAAAGACCTGTTCACACGACAATGATGAGAAATAAGCTTTTAAATAATGGGTATGGAAATGTTACTGTGCAGTAAAGCAGATGCAGTGTTAGGCCTGTCACGATAACAACTATTTGTTGTGCGATATATTGCCCCAGATAAGCGATATTATTGTCATTTTAAAGACCATTTTATGCCACTGAATATATAATCATAATGTAACAGCATAATAATGCAAGAAGGCCTACACACTTCCAAATGACAACAAACTTTTAATTTTTAAGAATATTTAGATCATGGAAATGAAGTATCAGAATATTAGATACCTTAAAAAACCTGAATAAATAGTAAATAAACGTTTTCTAACAAAAAGTGCAAAGTAGAAAAAAAGAAAAATGCATAAAGAACTTGTCTGGAGATCTACAGATTTTCGCTGACCGTCTTTTCTCTGTAAACGAAGGGTGCACACTATTGCTGAGAAACACAAGCACTACTCAGCACTCAGATGTCCGTACGCACAAATACATCCCTAAACAAGATCATATCTGCAGATGAAACTTTGTTTGTAGAAGCATTTATTAAACGTGAACTAGCACCTCATGACTACACCACGTTATGCACGAGAAGCTGCGAAAGACACCAGCGCAAGTGGAGTGTACAAAACTGGAGTGTAAATATAATGGGCGATATATTGCGTCACCAAAAATGATTGAGGTCATGTACACAAATTGCGCGATAAGTCGATATATTGATAATTGCGACAGGCCTATGCAGTGTGTTTTGTCAGATGCGTTTGCATCAGTGAACATTAATGACCAGTGTGCAATTCATTCACTTCTGCAGACCTCCTTAAAATTCAAATGAAAATCAAGACGAAATCATTTACTAACTTAAAGCCAAAAATATAACAACACTGCCCTGCGTCTGAATGAGATCCTGTATGTTTCTGACTAATTTTGGGTGCCGATTCCAAAAAAAAAGTGCCTGTTTTGCACAAAATATGTTGCATTTATTTATTTATTTTTGCTTTTGACAGCCATTTGTGCAGTGAAGTCGTCTTGTATTCTCCCTCAATCAGCAGAAAAACACCACAAAGACAAGATTCTTTTCTTCCTCTCAACCAGATTACAACTGCTTGTTCAGTTCAGTTACTCGATGCCTAATTTCTGCTTCGTTTCCCCCCGAAACCTTTGACATTCAACGGCTTTTGTTACTTTGATAAGTGCAATGAAGCTGATACTGGTGTATGATTTGAAAACCTTGATTCTTATTTTGTGAAAACACTATACATGATGGAAAGTTTTTATTGATGCTTTTGAGCTCGGCATCATCAGATTAGGTCCCATTATGCCTTTTTTTGTTTGTTGCAGATTTTATTCAATATGCAGGGCTGTGTAATATACATAAACTCAACTTTTACAGCGTTTATTTAATTTTTCACCCCACCAGCTTTAACCGTCTGGATCTGCCGCCCTATAAAAGCTACGAGCAGTTAAAGGAGAAGCTGCTGTTCGCCATCGAGGAAACGGAAGGCTTCGGTCAGGAGTGATGCACGCACACCGCTGCGTCTTTTAAAGCCTTTCCATGACAACACGTATCAAACTGCTTCAGCCTTCTGCTGCTACTTCAAACCGGGAACGAGGGATCAACACTCATTATCTGTTCGCTTAGGCTTCCAGTTCTTGTTTGCATACCATCCACTTCTGATTTTACGCTGCCTTAGTCAATGATGGATGCACAGCACTGCAGCCGGACTGAAGATCTGCACACCTCGGCTCACTCTATGCAGACTGTGTGACCCTCGTATTAACCCGTTAATGACTGTAGTAATGCACACGCAACAGACTTTTCCTCTAGAACTTGAAGCTTGAGTTTGCATGGTATGTGTTTAAATGAGTCTCTTCTGTTGTGCGTACGAGTGCAAGACACAATTTCATACGGTTTTTATTGCCACTGCAGATCTGTACCTTCATACAGATATGAATCATTTGAAGACATTGGTTTTTCCAATTTGAAAAGGGTTGCACTTTATTAGTGAAAACACTGGCAGAGTGATTACGGCTAATATGCAACCGGTCATATTTCACCTCGGAATCAAGAGAAAGCATTGTTTTGCATGAAGAAAGTTAACCCACTATTAGAAGTTTTTACATTATTGTCATAAAAATGACAATCTCATTCTCATTACTGAAAAACGAAACGAAACCATTGGATTAGCTTCATGTTCTTCATGCAAAATATACTTTCTTTTGCTTCTGGGTGAACTGTGACCTGGACATGCCTACAATAAGAGTATATCTATGCACGTATGGTTGGATAAACTTTTAGCAATAGCCCAGAATGCCATTTATTCACTTTCTCACTTGAATTCACAAAACTACGTGACGGAAGCTGTAACGTTCGCTGTTTTCGTACGATCAGCAGCTAGAAATCTTTATCATTTTATACTTTTAATGTGGATTCAAATGAAAGAGAAACTAAAGAAAATGTGCTTTATTTTGAGGAAAAAATCATTTGTGTGTGTGTTTTAGAGATGGTACGGCACTGGTGCTGAAGATTTAACACTGAACTCGTGGACATTTAGTGTATTTCAGAGATTGTGCTTCTCGTTCAGATGTAAAACAAAAAACCAGGACTGTAAATAAATACCAGTAGTTATCAGAGTAGATGTAGGGTTTGAAGAAGCAAACCATTCGAAGAGTTTCTTGTGTTCAGTTTAGCTCTGATTCCGAGAGGATGTGAATGTAAAATGATTCATATGCATTTCTTTCCAAAACATGATTGTGATTCTTTCACAAAGGGTGTGTAGAGTTGGAGCCCATATCATGTTGAATTGACATCAGCGTCTGATATTTTCATTAGGAGGTCGTGCTACAGCCAGGGCACTTTATTTCAGCTCTAAACGGCAGATTGTTTGATTTAAAGTCAACTGACAAATAACCTCACGTCTGATGTTACGTGTTGTTGTCATGTAAAGGCCAGGCTTTATTTTCTCAACACTAAATCATGCAACAATGCTCCTGTGATCTATAACACGTTAACATCAGTTAGGATGGGTTTCATGATTTATATTTATTTTTCTTAAGCGAATGTGTACAGTTGGATGATTAATATAAAAATACCGATTTATTCTCAGCTGGAGAAATAAAAAAATATATACATTTCAAAACGTGTCGCTGCTTTGATTCTCGTTTATTCTGTACATTCAAATTTAAATGTTTTTTTTTTTTTGATGAAAAGAGTAAATAAAAAGCTGTGGATTCTGTTATATTAGATTTCCTGTTTCAATGCTTTTATCATTTAAAACAAAATAAATATAGAAAAATGTCTTGTAATGGTTTATAACTCAAATACTATTATTAATATTATTAAGGATATTCCGTGTTCTATTGTAAGCAATTGTCCTTTTGTGTTTTGAAAAATTACCAATTCATATTAATATTATTATAAAAAATGTATATTATAATATTAATTTAAATTCATATGATAAACCTTACTACACTCATATATAAAAACAATAAAAAATTAGGTGATACATTAAAGAACTCGAATTTTACAAATTATGCATATCATTCTTCAGTTATATTGTTTTTATTTAATTTATGTAATTTAATTATATATTTTTTGTTCTGTTTTTTTTTTTTTTAAGACACTTTTTCGTAAAAATTACAAACAGAACCGGAGAGTTTTTTTCTTGGTCCGTGTTTCCGGTCGGACTTCCGTCGCGTCGCACTCTTTTCCGCTTCGCCGCCATTAAAGGACTCAGCGACGGTTCGCGGGTCAATTTTTTAAACTTGTTTGGCAGAATCCGAGTTTAATCGGAGCCATCCGAACAGCAATCATGGTAAGACTTCATTATTTGACTTATTAGTTCATGATTAAACCAAGACTTTGATATTTCTGCTCTTTAGTTGAGTTTTTGAACGAAAACGCTCTACGTTTCCAGTTTCAATTGGTGTCTTTCACAGGCCTAAGAACTCCAAGCAGCCGGAGCGAGAGGAGAAGAGGGTTTTGGGTCTGGTTCTGCTCCGAGGAGAGAATCTGGTTTCTATGACAGTGGAAGGACCCCCTCCTAAAGACGTGAGTCCACATTCGGAGTTGTGTGTTGTTGTTGTAAATGCAGAGAGTGACGTGCTGTATCTGTGTCCGCTCACAGACCGGCATCGCCCGTGTGCCGCTGGCAGGAGTGGCTGGGGGTCCGGGGGTCGGCAGGGCTGCAGGTCGAGGCGTTCCCGCTGGAGCTCCGATGGCACAGGCTCCCGCCGGACTCGCCGGGCCCGTGAGGGGAGTCGGCGGCCCGTCACAGCAGGTACAGTCAATTCAGAATTTAAACACTTTCTTTTAGTTGCTGCTGTTAAGTAATAAGTAGGGGTCGATTGATATGTGTTTTTCAGGGCTGATGAGATTATTAGGGGTGGGAATCTTTAGGCACTTCATGATCCGATTCCGATTCTGGGAGTCAAAAACGATCCCAAAAATCCAAAACAATTCTTGATCTACATTTTTTTCCTAATTCTTCTGCTGTGAAAATACAGCTTTACAAAATTGCAGTTTCTATGCGTTTTGTTTATAGTTGGAATCTGTAAGTCAGTACTGCCGTCTTAAAAATAGGCGTGTGAATCTTCACTGGTTTCAGGATTCAGCATCGGAGAATCGTTTTTTTTTTCTCCCACCCCTACCGATTATTACAGACCAAGTAGACCGAGAACCGATATACATGTCTGGTGTAAAAATTAATATTAATGTCAAAATTAAGAATAACAAGGGCTCTGACAAAAACTTTCTTTAAATGCTTTTAAATTATTACTGCGTCTGAGACTGCATCTCTGCAAAGCTTTGACATATTGACACCAAACTTTGTGTGTGCCATTGTCACCTCACGCAGAACACACCACATTGATTTAATAACAGCGCCACCTATTGGTCAAAAGTAATAACCCATCAGCTCAAATTACTAGTGGTTGTATTTGATTTTTCAGGGGTTTTTTGACAAATCATCTTAAAATGGCTTCATTACTCATTTCTGCAGTTGGTCTGATGCTTGCTTCTGTAGTGCTTGGCCCCTTAATTGCTGCTTGCAGCTATATTTATTATTATCATAACAATTTAGGGAACCCTATTCCCTATGCATGCATATTGGCTTTTTTATTAGTACTTGTATAGTACTGCAGCAACAACTAGCGTACTATCAATAAGCAGCTAATTAGGAGTTTGAGGGAAAACTCGTAAGACGGAATGTGTTCCCTCATCCAAAGTGTTACCGTTATTGCCACTGCTTTTTAATTTATAATTTTTGTATTTTTATTTACTCTTTATTGTCCTGCTTTGCTGTACATTGACCGCTCTGTTTATTTTCAAACTGCATGTTGTCTTGTGTTAAACATATGTTCTCTCTCTCGCTGTCTCTCAGGTCATGACCCCTCAGGGACGAGGCACGGTTGGGGCCGTCGCTGCGGGGGCCAGTATAGCCGGAGCCCCCACACAGTATCCTCCGGGCCGGGGTGGACCTCCTCCTCCGATGGGCAGAGGAGCGCCTCCTCCGGGTGAATTTTTCTCTTGCTCTCTATCTCTGTCTCTCATGCTCTCCTTTTCTCCTCGAAAACCTTTTATTTGGAAGTGTTTATTTTATTTTATTTTTTTTTTTGGTCAATTGTTGAATTTTGTATTGGGTCAAGCCAAGCTGGCTGTTTATATAAGCAGGACAATGAAAGTTGAACACAACCTGAAACAGAATGTAGTTTTATTTTTAAATATGGTGCAAACAAGTAGGGGTGTGCGATAATATCGTAATTGTTGTTTTAACGATGTGCGATTTGACTTTATCGAGTATTTTGCAAAAACCATTCAAAACACCCCTACAGAGCGCACGCGTACATTACGTGAAGTCTAGACTAGTGCGTGTGCGCATTTACAGTGCGTTCTTTCACTGCATGATTCAGGCTATTAAAATGCATTTAGAATGAGCACAAATTCAAGACATGATGGCAGAAAATCTATATAGTTATACCACTTCATATAGTTATTCAATTTGACACGAAGAGTGCCGTTTTTCTCCAAAAATTACCATGATTACAAATGTGACATTGAATTCAATAAACAATTAGTTAATTAAGAGACTTACGTTTTAGACACCATGTTGCTTGTTTTTGCTCCATTTCGCCAACAAAAATCATTCTGAATACAGCCACAGCGCTGTTTTGTGTCTCTGAGCAACATGACGGTGTTTCGCTAAGACTAATAAGACTCGCTTATTAACAGTGACTTGCTGGCGGTTTATTTCAAATTTCTTTTTTTGTTGTTTTTTTTCATGTTTTAAATAATTTCAGATATCAGTATTCAACGTTTTATGTTTAATATATCAAAACATTATTTATGCATTTGTAATTGCAGGTTAAATGCATTCATGTCTTGCATTAAACAAA